GGGGGTTGGGGACCGCTGCCGTATTGCATTCAATACCATCCCTTTTTTCTGAATTGCCCATATTTACTTCATGTTCCTGCAAAAATTGTTATGCACACTGTGAGTCTCCACTACTTAAAAACAATCACCTGCATTTAGAGATTAAAAAATGCTTTTTCAACTCATTTATGGAGGACAATTTAGTAGGCCAGAGATAGATAAAGATCTTGTTCTCTTTCTTGTCCAGTATCATTTTGACTTCCCAGTTATTGAAGAGTCACAACCTGCTGGGGCAAGCTGGCTGTTTCATTCCAAAACCCTGGAGAGTTACCTGTTTTTGCTTGGCTCTAGCCAGCGAGAAGAAACACGGGAAGCCTGTTGTGGAATATTGCAGAGTCTCACTGCACAGGAAGGCCTCGTAAGGAGAAATATGTTACAAATAGCTGTCTAACACTGATAAAATTTTCACTTGTCTTTTAAACTTAATTTTGGTTGCATCTACAGCTGTCATGTCATTTGCTGAGTTCAGAGGCTGATATGGGCTCTTGTATTCACAGGTCTCCAGGGCAATTGGTCAAACCATTGTACAGAAACTGAATGGGCTTCAGGTTATCAGTCCCCTCTTGAATTCAAAAAAAGTCAACCTGCAGAGGAGCACAGTGGATTTAATAGCCAACTTGACAAAGAATCCTGTCCTGCACAGTGCCATCAGTAAGAATTGGTTTTAATTCAAAATCTTTATATTTGCCTTTATTGTGTACTTTATTCTAAATCTAAACAAAAGGCATTTTACTCTTAATTTTATCATCCTAAAACAATAGAATAGTCTTTACCGTGAAATTTATCATCCTGAAAAATCCTTTGCAGCTTTACAAATTAGTTTGTGTTAAACAGTCAGTGGATTTTGTTTATCTTATCATTAAAGGTCGTAAAGGGCTTCCAGAGCTGCTGGTTATCCTCAGCAATGGCACCACAGGAGGGAATGAATCTGATGATACTCTTGCCATGGCCTGCCAGGCTGCCAGCTGCCTGTTTATGAAGAATCCCGAGATGAACAAGAACTTATTAAACAACAAGCTGATAAGCTCCCTGAACGATCTCAGCAAAAACATGTACGATTCTTTGTTTGACTGCAGAGAAGTTGGTGGTTTGTATATGACTTAAATAAACAAACAGGTTTATTCAAGCTGTGGGGAATATCTATGATTTCTTTGGAATTTGTTTTTGTAAAATGTACACGCCAAGTACATGTGAATTTCATGCTTTCAATCCAGTTTAAACACTTCCTTCCCCTCTCTCATAGATACTTCCCTAAATCCAGCAAAGCGTCAGCCCTGTTTCTCTGCAAACTTTGGTCTGACAAAGATTTACAAAGCTTCCTGAAACGGGTGAGTGCTAAGATCTGCCATGTTTGGGTGTGTCCTCCGATTATCTTACCTTAGACTCCACACCTCCCTCAGGTATTTGTGAGAATCCCATTTAGAAAGATTGAAGGATTAAAATGCCAGCTTAAAAACGACTGAGACATGAGTGATGTAGCTGAGGAATCCCGCAGCTCAGGTTTTAGAAATCACTTGGGGGGACTTTGTTTGCACATGTTTGTTGTCAAGATAAATCATTTTTTACCTTTGCCATTAAAGCAAATGAGGTTAATGTTTGAGTTGAATGCACCGCTTACTGTTAGACGAGTGTATTGACCGATGCAGAACACTCATTTATATTTAACTATTTATCCTGCAGCAAGGGATGAGCAAGTCCTTATTTGTGAATGACATCACCATGGCGGTACAGCGGTCACTCCAAGTTGTTGATTAACAGCTTATCAGACCTCTGAAAGTTGTTCAGTGAAGTAACTCACCTGCAATGTGTCTACACACCCACAAGACATAAAATCACAGAAGCAGAGCAACATTTCCCATTTCATCCATAAACTCTACATAGTGCATCCATGAACAAATCACTACATGATCTTTTATATGCTGTAAATTTCTGTTTCATTGTTGGAATATGGGTGAAAGTCTAGTACAATAAGAGCAAAAATGCAGAAAGTGCACACTTCTATTTGCTTTTCTCATTTTTAATGCTGTCATGTCATGTTTTTATATACAGTTTGTGTCCAAGCCTTCACTTTGGAACCATGAGCTTGCATAAATATATAGTGACACAATGCCTTGGCTTTCATCTTGCACTGAAATGTGTGTCATAGCATGTAATGCACATGTAAAATTTTTGACAATGCATAACATGACCAAATAAAAAAATAAATGATATTCTGTTAGCATGGCTGCTGTAGGACATTAGATGTATATCTCTATTTGTAAATACAACTTTTGCTGTTGGGATGTCCATCTATTTCATATGTAGGATTGCCATTTTGAAATTAGCTAGCTGTATTGAACACAGTACTGGTAATAAAGCTGAAATAAATATATTCTTTTGGCTGCAAAGGTAATCCAAGAATAGTAAGTTTCACGGTCACTGGTTCAGCATGAAGAAGTTTCCAATCTCCTTCATGTCTTGTCACACCCCTTGGCTGCAGTTTGAAATGCTTCAGGGCAGATTACCAACTCATCTCTCGCATTCTGTTTACTCCACCCCTATGATTTATTTTATCAATCCAGGCACTGCAGCTGTTGTTGCGCTCACTCTATTATATAACTGTTGACTAGATTTGAACTTTGGTCGTCCACATTTCAAACCACATAATCCACTGAACAGCCATGAGGGGATTTTGGGTCCGTGGGTATTATTTAGATTTAGACTTCTGGCACAGCTGACCTTTTTTTAAATAATCACTTCATTGTACACTGGAGATTTATGTGTCTGAATGTGTTCATTAATAAAAAAGCTTGTATTACTGTGAGAATGCATCAACCTTATGTGGATGTCATATGTCAAAAGCCACAAATAAAACAGGATAGCAAAGTAAAAGTAAACTAACTGGAATCTGTCACATAAAACTATTAAGTCCAGTTTGCCAAAAACTACAATCTGGCTTCATTGAAGCAGGTGTGGCTTTTATAACTATCATAGAGTTGGTATTCATCTGTAAGTTCCCACGAGTGCTGGAGCCACAGATACAAATGCTACGTCCATTTTCATAGATACAAGTTTATTGAAAGTCCTTGCAATCACAAAATCCTACACACCAGAATAGGTTCAGTTGCTCTGATTTCTTTCAGTCAGTGTTTTAAACTTTTGGATTCAGTTTTAAAAAAAATCCTTATGTGTTACACATGGTCAGATGAACACAAGTTAAACCACATCATCTGATCTGTCTGCTACCAGTAACTTAACATGCACTTTATTCCACTAACAACATCTAAAAGAGCGTACTTTTTTTTAATTGTTCTTGCATTTTCAAGTATTAAGAAAATATTATTATCCAGCTTCTTATTCTCAGTCGTTTATGGATGGCTGATGTTGCTGGTTTTTCTCCAGCTGATGTCAGACGTTACTTCCTCAGGCCACGCTTGCTCCTGCCACCCTTTGAACTGAGAATAAAATGAAAGTCAGCAGAGAATCATCATATCAGCGAGCACACAGCCTAGCTTTTTGGTGGTCATCTGTAGTGCTTGTTCAACCTTGTATTCACTCCCACTGGTCGTATATCTGTTTGTGAAAACTTGTACGCAAGGCTGAGTGGCTGCATTCCTTGTGAGCTGACCCTTGAATTGATCTTTAGAAATGTATTTCATTCTACCAATGCAAATAAGTCACTGCGGCTGCATTTGAAATTTAAATTATTTTAAGTAAATTTTCTGTCTTAGGGCTTACCTGTGTCTTTTCTAACATTTGAACTTCGTGTCACTGACTTTTTACATCACATTTCTTTGTCTTACTAAAATCTTGGGTTGCTTTTTCTAAAGTAACTCGAGTCAATATCCATTTGCACTGTTAAGCAGTAATTGCATTAAGATCAGTTTTGCAGCATTTCACTGAATGTGAATAGAGAGTGTAGCCCTGTGCACTTCAGGATTCATTCTTCTACCTTTATCAGCAGTTAAAACATCATTTGCAGCTAGTGACCTACTTCCAGTAACAGGCATACACACTTGTGCCATAACTTTGCCTCCACCGTGTTTAATAGACGATGTGATATACTTCAGAACAGAGCTTCTTCTACTTACCTTTCCTCTCCATCACACTGGTAGTAGTTACTCCTGGTTTTATATGTCTAAAGATTTTTTTCAGAACTGTTCAGACTCTTTTAGATGTTTTCTGGCCAAGCTAGGAACTCATACCTATTGTGTGGCTGCTGTTCCTGCTCTTGATTGTAATCAGTGGTTTGCACCTTAAATCCTTTTTATGCCCATTTATCACTGTCTCTTGAAAGAATATCTTGACAATTATACTACAACCTCCTAGAGAGTTTTCTTGACTGGGTCTGATGTTGAAAAATATTGTTTTCTCTTAACCATGGAAATAATTCTGTCATCATGCTCTTTAGTTGTCTTCTGTGGTCATTGAGACTTTTTAGTGTTGGTGAGCTGGCCAGTGCATTCCTTCTTTTTAAGAACCAGATTATTAATGAGGCCATTCCAAAGGGTTTTGCTATCTCTTTGATGCTGTCTCTCAGACTAATAATGGCCTCGCTCACTTGCATGAACATGTCTTTGGAACTAATTTTAAATAAAAAGTGAATAGATACCAAATGCAAATTTTACATTAGGAATAAACTATTTTATATGTTTAAGATGTCAAGGAAAACAAGGGAAGAGGCCTTATCTAGCCATGAAACTGTTTATCAGAAAATTGCTCAATTACTTTTGAGCCTTTAGAAATGGGTGACTGTAGAAAAAGTCGTTTTTGCAATGCAGTGCAATATTTTGTTAAACTTCAATGTACATAGACAAAATTGCAAAATTACCACAAAAAATGGTCAAAAATACTTACAAACCCATGTCAAATGTTTGTGCCTTTGGCTTCTACAAACTTGATGTCACACTGGGTGCATTTCAGTAGCTTGCAAGAGTTATGTTTTCATTATCATTTGAATTATTTTCAGAATATGGTGAGTTAAAATACTTTAGTGAAAGGTTTTTAGTGATAAAAAATTAAAATAAATAAATAAACAGTGTGCATATTTGTGTGCATATTATCTGAATATAGAATTACCATGACTCTACTCATTCGGGTTGGAGAACACACTACAAAAGCAGCCCTCAGATACTGGAGTGACTTTAATAGCTGTATAATGGGATGTGCTAACCAATAACTGCCTACTATGTTTATCTGTTGTTGTTACACAAGTCCGTGTCCCCTGTACCTTTATAACCTATGAAGGTTTTTATAAATTCAGATTTATTTCAGTCTGATAATGTTTTTCTCTTATTGACTCAGGTGTGTTCCTGGTTTGCATATTCTGCATGAAAACCAGTATTAGAACTTGTTAGTTTTTATTCAGCCCTTCAGTATATTTATTGTAAAGCCTACATGGCGTCAGCTGGAAAAATATGCATGGTCTTAGTTTGGGTGTGTATGTGTTCTTCAGACATGACAGCATACACTTTTCCCAGTCCTGTTTGACTGGATATATTCAGGAAATTTTAGCCCTACTATAGGGGTTGCCAAGACAAACGGTTACTTCTTCTACTGTTTCAAAAGAATGGAGACCATTGTTGTTAGAAAGCAGGGGGGGAAGCTGAAATGAGAGGAGGTGGAAACCTTTTATTGATAAGTTTCATTACTACTTTCTCCTCTTACTTTGCTGTAGTTCTACATTTCTACCCAGCTTTGCAGTCTTTAGTCCATGCTATGTGTTAGAAAGCACTAAATAAAATCCTAATTTTTGTACGTTACCTTTGCTACTCAATGACAACAGAAACCACAAAAGAATAGACTTACATTTTCTGATGATCACTGACACGATTTCTCAGCACTGTGACCTGAGAAAACAGTAGTTTAACAGTTCATTGATATCTATACTGTGAAAAACCAACATGTTGACTTCTTGGCATTTGCTTTACTACATAAAAATTTTCACATGTTCTTGAAAACTGTGCAACTAGAAAAACAGCAAAGAAAGTCAACCTACAATATTGTTTTTTCCAAGAGTAACTGGGGAGGTTAAATTCATACCAGTCAGACATAACATTATTAACTCCTGTTTAATGTTGTGTTGTTCCCCTTTTTGCTGGCAAAACAGCCTTGAACCATGGTATCTAATAGACTCTTGAAGGTGTGCTGTGGTATCTGACACCAAGATATTTACAACAGATCCTTTAAGCCCTGTAAGCTGCAAGGCGGAGCCTCCATGGATTGCACTTGTTTATCCAGCAGGACCCAAGGTTTCCAAGCAGGTATCACTGGTGTCTTGCAAACATGATCCATGCGACCAGGCCACATTCTTCCATTGCTCCGTGGTCCAGTTCTGATACTCATGTGCCCATTTTTAGCACTTTCAGTCATCCAAAGGCGCCAGTAGGGGCAATAAGAATTACCATTACCTCTGTTGCCAATTTGAGTTACAGTAGCACATCTGTTGGACCTCAACACAAGGGTCAGCCTTCTCTCCCTATGTGCATCAATGAGAATTGGCCATCCATGCTACTGGTTCACCACTGTTCCTTGTTTGGACCACTTGCAGGGCTAACACAGTTCAAACTCAGATTCACACCTATGGGCGATTTAGAATCACCAATAACCTAACACCACTACTCTAAGGAAAGCATCTGGACTTCTTTAAGTTTCTTGAAGATGATTCACCTCTCATCTGAGAAGCTTCTTCAGTTCTAAGAGCAATTGGTGAAGAATCACAGATTTTTAAGGCTTATTATTCCTCTGCCTAATCCACGAGCCAAGCTGTGAAAACAGGTGTGGGTCACAATCACCAAAACCTTGGCTAGATGAGTACTATATCCCTTCTATTTTGGATCTTTGGCTGAGTTCCACTCATAATATATAAGAAAAAAATTGTGACTCATTGCAATGGGTGTTCCCAGGCACGACACTTTCATGTTTTGTTTTCATCTTGGCCTGTATCCTAGAATCTGTCCACTCAGAGAAACTTTTTTAGGTACAAGTGGCTGCAACAACATGAATCTGTTGACATTTTACCTCATACTTCTGCTTTGTGCATTTTTGCTGAAGTTCAAATTTCTCGGCCTCTAGTTGGCGCAACCAGTCCCAAAGATCCTTAGCCTTTTCTCTGTGGAGAAAATGTTATGACAGTTTACTGTATAGTGATCAGATGATGAATAGAGATGTTTTTTTTTATGTAAATGAAACATATTTGGAATAAATCAAGAGAAAGTAAAGTGTTTTAGTAACAGTGTCCTTTTACCTGAGTTTGTCCTCTTTCAAATGATCAATATTTAATTCTTTGCGTCGATCATTCAGGATCTTTCTCTTCTTTTCTCTTTCTGTTGGTTTTTTTGTCCCATTCTGTGTTTGCTGGAAAGGAAACAAGCACAAGCTGAAATGCACTTTTATTTGGACTTTATAGTAAGATGCTTTAAGGGTAAACTAGATTGTTACCCTGTATCCAGTGAAAGTCAGGTTGGACAGAATCATCTTCTTCCTTGCATCGTCATCTGCTCTCTTCTTGGCTTCTTCTTCTTCTTTTCTGGCTTTCTCTTCCTGTTGAAATGATGTAGAGTACCTTTGATTGTTCACACTATTTTGACTGCTGAAAGTGTCTGAATTTGCACAAACTGAATACAATTCATAGGTACAACTGTGGATTCTTAGACAACTTAAACATGTAGGAAATATCTGTTATGTTCTGAAAATGTTACTCTGTAGCAACTACACTTACTGCTAGTTTGTTCTGCCGTTCTCTTTCTCTCTCTGCTCTGATCTTCATCTGCTCTGCTCTCTCAGACCTGCGTTTCTCCTGATATTGAAAAGGAAGGACATTTT